GGGTGACAGCACAAGTACCTGGGAGGGGTTGTCTGGGGTACAGATGAAGGGGAGAGTGTCAGAGTGAACCCCGAGTTCACGGCCTGGCTACCTGCAAAGATGGGCAGTAGGTGAGCTTTGGGGTAGGCCTCGGGGTCAACTCTTCAGGCCCCAGATGTGTGTGTCCCCCCTGGTCTGTGGGAACCCCCTAGAGAATGGGCAACCCTGACCTGTGGGACCAACCCTCTACGGATCCCCTGGTGTGCAAGACCCCCTGGTCTGTGGACCCCTGGTGTCTGGACACCCTGCTCTGGGGGCCCTGCTGCAGGGCTGCTCTCTGAACCCCAGAGCCCTCACTGTGCCCCTTGCTTCGTGCCCACAGGGTGTTGGTTGGGGTGCCGTTGTTCCTCACCCTTGGCTGGGTTGCCCTCCCTGTGGAGGGGCTGGTCTGCCTGGGTGACTCCGGCCATCCAGGCGCTGCTGCCGGGCCCGAGTCTGTCCCTTGGAGGACCCCGCGGGGGCTCCGCTCTACCACCGCCCCTAGCTGTCCCCTCTGCCAGGGCACCGCTGTTCCCTGGGGTTGGCCCCTGGCATCTCTTCCCTGCTTGCCATGCTCCTTTCATTTGAGGCCCCTTTATGGGGTGCCCTGAGTTGTATGGACGGGCTCCTGGTACCCCCCCCCAGTGGCGGGGCAGTAAGTGGGCTGCCCTGAGACAGGGTGTTGTGTGCACAGGCTCAGTGTGAGCACATGAGTTCAGTGCTCAGGGTTCTTAGCCTTTCGAAACGAATGAACCAGATACTGATTTCAGCGTGGGGTCTGGCCTGGGGACTCATGGTGATGTTTGGTGACACACCAGCCTGTCACGACCCCAGGAGGGTCAGGGGTCAGCCTGGGCAGGGCCTTACCTCCCACACCTGTGCTCTGCAGACTTCCACAGAGGACTGGACGGTGACTATTTTAGCTCTGGTGGTCAAGTGGCACCTGTCTCAGTGGCTCCACGGCCCCTGGAGCGGGAGGCAGAAGGGGTGGCCCACAGGCAAGCATGTGGCCATGCACCATGACACCTGGCTTCTGGGACAGGTGGTGCTAATTCGGCCCTAGGTCCATGGGCTGGTGAGGGGGCCGAGCCCCTGGGAACCCTTTTTCCCAGTTAAGGGTATGGTCCTGGGCTGCTTTCCCACCCCTGTCCCCCAAGTCTAGCCCATCCTGGCATGGACACCACATGGTGCCCGTGTTTGGAGGCTGGCACAGGAGCGGTAAGATACATGTGCGGTGCTCAGCTGCCATGCTGCAGGTGGCCAGCCCTTAAGGCGATGACTGCTGCTGGCCTGCTGGGATGTGGGGCATGTGGCTGTGGGGGCCACAGTGGGTGCTGGTCAGCGGGGTGGAGGTCCTCCCAGTGAGCGAGCCATGCAGTCACATGCCCAGTGGAGGTGGGGAGGGGAGGCTGGAAGTGGGGCTCCCTGTGGCCGCCCCCTCACCCAGAGCAGAACCCTACCTGGAGGGAGCCAGGCCTCCTGCTGCTGCCCCAGGACAGGATGCTTCCTTCCGGGCTGGTCCCTCCCTGCTCCTCCCTGGGTCATTCAGGGTTACGGGTTACGGGTCAGCCCTCTGCACAAGCTGAGGGCAGGAGCGTCTGCCCAGTGGCAGGTGGCTGTGGCTCTGTGTTTGCTGGACTTCTGGGCACTGGAGAGAACATGAGTGCCCCCCCCCCACCTGGCACCTTGACAGATTCAGAGGAGTGGCCTCAAGTAGAGGGAGCTCATCTTGATCGGATAAAGGAAAAAATTGTTTCTTGAGTTAAAAATTGGGAGGTGTCCACATGACAGACATGTCCCCATGTTTGTTTTCATCGACACAATGACAGTAAGGACCTTCAGGGAGGCCGCAGCCCCTGCGCCAGCCCTGTCCACTTGGCCCTCCCTGCTGGCCATGCAGCCACGCTTTCCATGGGACCTGCACCCGTCCCCGGCCTGGCCACGTCCCTGGTGCTCTCCCATCCCAGGGTGGGCATGAGCCACGGGGCTGTGGTGCTCAGGACGTGCTGCAGGCGGTGAGGTCGTGGGGGTGTGCCCCTCTTAGCACCCCTGGATTCTTGCTGAGAACAGTCAGTGGAGACATCGTTTGGAAATTGAAACAGAAAAGCTCATTGATTCCTCGCTCCAATTAAATTAGACGGGAAAGGGACGGTCCAGGTGAGCCACAGTCGGAACATTGCTTCTCACAACATGGCTGAAAGTCTATTTTTGTTCTTAAAAAATAGTGCTTTTGGCTAAAGCAGTCTTACAAGTTGAATCACATTTGTTTAGAAGTTGTGTGTTCACTGGTGAAGAAAGCTGTAGGCCATTTGGGCTTGTGTTTGGTCATTTGGAGCATGGAGACCATCTCCTGCACGAGTAGCTTGCTGACGTTGCAGGGCCTGGGCCTCCTGATGGCGTGGCAGTCGGGCCTGGGGGCGGCTGTCCACTCAGCAAGGTGCCTGCCCACGAGCTGTCAACCACAGACCCGATACATCTTGAGCGCCTGCACGGCGAGGGACGCTGCCTGGTGCAGTGCTTCCCAGAGAGAGAGCAGGCCTCTAGTGCGGGCACATGCTAGCTGCGGAGACCGGGGGGCCAGCCGCAGCGCATGGCCCCAGCTGTGGGTCCTTGTGAGGCCTGGGCCTCCTGCTGTCTTGTGTCCCCTTCCCGTCGGTCATGTGCTCTTGTTGGAGTCACTTGGCCACCCAGCCCTGGAGTGTGGATCCTGAGGGGAGGGCCTGGGTGCCAGGCAGAGAGTGTCCTTCCCTGTCACCGAGGGCCAGGGCATGAACCACACCCCTGCTGAGGACAGTGGCGACCCTTGGGGCCCACCGGGCATTCAGGAGGGGTGGGCTCACTCCCAAGCCCAGGGCTGCGGTGTGGCACTGGTCCTTGCCCTCTCCGGGCGGCGGATTCTAGGGCTGTGGCCCCCACCCCAGACATGGAAGGCTCCTGGGGCCGGGGGGCCTGCAACTGGGGGTGCTCCCCTCGCGAGGCCTGTGAGCCGCAGGGTTGGGTCACATCTTGGTCGGCCTCCTGGGCTTCCTGGCCCCATGCCTGTACTCACATGCCTTTGTTGCCATGAGCTGAGATGTGGACACTCAGGGCCTGTCAGACCTGAGACGTGGCCTCGATGCCAGTGCATGACCTCACCACGTACCCCTCACTGGTGCCTCACATGGCATGTGCTTTGGGGCATTGCCTCTGTGTAAACCCCAGAGACCCATCCAGGTACTTCGGGCTTGTGCCAGCAGCCCAGCTCCTGCCAGGCCCTCCCCTGCTGACTGCCCCTTTCTGTCTCCCCACTGCCAGGTCTGGCCTCTTCGGCCTCCCATCGGCTCCGCTGGCCCAGCCCAAGGATGCCCCTGTCAATGGCTGCCATGGCCTGGCCCCAGCAGAGGGGGACACCGAGGCGATGCAGCTGGGGCTGGGGCCCCCGCTGCCTCCCTGTGGGGACCAGCCCCTTGAGACTGCGGGCCCCGAGACACCCCCAGCCCTCGTGCCGCTGCTGGCCCCTGGAAGCTTGCCCCCGTTCCCACCGTACTTTGAAGGTGCCCCTTTCCCTCCCCCGCTCTGGCTGAGAAACACGTACCAGCAGTGGGTGCCGCAGCCACCACCCCGGACCATCAAGAGGACTCGGCGACGCCTGACCCGCAACCGTGACCCGGGCCGGCTGGCCCTGAGCCCCATCCGCCTGCGGCCGCGCCAAGTACTCTGCGAGAAGTGCAAGAGCACCCTGAGTCCCCCAGAGGCCAGCCCTGGGCCCCCGGCCCCCCGGCCACGCAGGAGCCCCGGCCCCCTCAGGGAGCCCGGCAGGCCTGAGGGCCCACAGGGCGGAGGCGACTTGGCGGCCGAGGCGGCTGCGAGCAGGGGCAAGAGGGACCGGCCGGCCGGGGACAGGGCCCGGGTGCCCAGGAGCCCAGCCATCAAGATCTCCTACAGCACCCCGCAGGGCACAGGCGAGGTGGTGGAGATCCCCTCCCGTGTGCACGGCTCCCTGGAGCCCTTCTGTCCCCTGCAGGCCCTGCACAGCAGTGGCCAGGACCCTGTGGCCCCGAGGGACAGGCCACCCGGCGGGCCCTCTGCCTCCATCCCAAAGCTGAAGCTGACGCGGCCTGGGCCTCCGGGTGCCGACCTGCCGCCCCCCAAGATCCGCCTGAAACCCCGCCACCTGGGGACTGGTGAGCGGGAGCCGGTCTACAGGGCTGAGCTGGTGGAGGAGCTCAATGGCCGCAGGCGAGGCCCCTGGGCCAGCTCACCCGGTGTCCTTGCCAATGGCGTTCACAGCGGGCTGGTGGACTTGTCTTCTGGGAGTTCTGGCGAGGACGACAGCGTCAGGAGGTGCCCCCAGGGCACACGTGGGAGCGACAGCCTGGCTTTCCTCGCCACCTGCCCTCAGACAGAGATGGATCGTGCCAGCGAGTCGGTGTGGAGCAGCGACAGCCTCGACGAGTCCAGATCGACCAGCTCAGAAGTCACATCACCAGACACGTGTGACCTCTTGTCTGGTGACGGGGTGTCTGCTCCGTCCTTGTCCAGGGACGCCCAGCAGACAGTCCCGCCACTCACGGTCAGGCTGCACACGCAGAGCGTCTCCAAGTGTGTCACAGAAGATGGAAGGACGGTGGCCGTGGGGGATGTTGTGTGGGGCAAGATCCATGGTTTCCCTTGGTGGCCAGCGCGTGTCCTTGACATCAGCCTCAGCCAGAAGGAGGACGGGGAGCCCTCTTGGCAAGAGGCAAAAGTCTCATGGTTTGGTTCTCCAACTACATCGTTCTTGTCTGTTTCAAAACTCTCCCCTTTCTCTGAATTTTTCAAACTGAGATTTAACCGTAAGAAGAGGGGGTTGTATCGGAGAGCCATCACAGAGGCCGCAGACGCCGTGCGACACGCGGCCCCGGAAATAAGGCAGCTCTTAACCCAGTTTGAAACGTAATGCAGTGCCTGAACCAGGTGAGTGTGTGCATAGGGGGTGACCTCTCCTGGGCCCTGCGAGCTGGCATCACACTGCGGCCGCCCCTCAGCTCTGGGCCCTCAGCTGGCTGGCTTGCTGCTCCCAAAGGGGCCATGGAGAAGGTCGGCTGCTCCTTGGCTGTGTCCTTAGCCTTGCAACTGGCAGAAGAGGGAAGCAGGCCAGGGTTCAGAATGGGCTGGTTTGCGTCTTGAAGCTATTTGAAGTGCCACGAATGCCCTCCTTACCCTCTTACCAGCTTCTTGGAGAAAGGGGCACGTTTTAAAGCACACGGTCTTGATAGGGGGCACAGAGCGGGGCTTCCTGTCTGGTTACTCACTCTGAGGGAATGTGCCACCCCCCACCCCTGCTCACGGTGCTGCCAGGACCCTGAGCTGGCAGCATGGCATGAGGCTGCTGAGCCACCTGCCCATGGCCGCAGCCCCCACCCCTCCTGCTGCGGCCTGCACGGGCAGCTCTCCGGCCCAGGTGCTCCAGGCTCTGGAGGTGACCCTGGGGTCTGTCCCTGGGCTGGGTCAGTATCTCCATCTCTCCCAGGAGAACTTCATGGGGTTCTAGCCACAGAACTTTGAGGGGGCCTGAGGGGCGGTCCCTATGTGGGGTTGGGGCATCACCATGTGGCACACCTGTGGTCACCATGTGGGGTGGGCATCGCCTCATGGGGTTGGGAGTCACCGCATGGCATGTCTCATGGAGTTACCAGGAGACAGCTGAGGCCCGGCCACATGCTTCCCCAGCGAAGAGCAGGCAGATGCTGGCAGGATCTCTGACAGCTGCCTTCGGGTCTGGGCCTGGGCAGCAGGGTGTGCCCACCAGGGAGCTGGCCCTGCTGGCAGCTCTGTGCAGGGCCAGCTGCCCTCCCTCTCCTCCCTGTGGTGCAGTGCAGGTCCTGTGGCCCCCAAGGTGTCCCCCCCACTGGTGTCCTGCAGGGCTCTTTCCCTGGGTCTGTGGCCCCGTGCACGATGCACAGATGCAGGATGGGTGGGGGTGGGCTGTGCACACATGGGTGGTCCTGCACCCCGCTGACCTCTGCCAAGGGGTCTCTGTGACCTTCAGGTGGCTGGTCAGCCTGGCCCACTGGGCTTCAGCAGGGCGGGGGTGTGGCTGAGGGAGGGGTCGTGGGGCCCTGTGTGCCGCCTGTGTGGGCCCTGGGACTGGGAGGCACTAACGCAGGCCTCTCTGGGTGGGGGTCCCCGCCAGGCCCTGGAGAACTTGCCCTGCCCCTGCCCCTCAGCTCTGCCTGAGTCCAGCCACCTTCTGCCAGCTCTGGGCCTTCCTGCTGGGTGTGGGCGTGGCGATGCTATGGCACCGTCAAGCCAGTGAGGGTCTCCCTGAGGGCAACCTGTGGGGAGGGTGGCCGGCTCACCTGAGGGGGAGGGTCCAGAGAAATGCCAGACCCCAGGCACTGACATCCCAGCGCTTCTCCCTGCTGTGGGCTGGCTTAGCCGGCGATACCTGGCTGCAGCCGTGCCCTGGCCTGGGCACAGCTGCAGGGCCCTACCTCTCTGTGTTCTGCGCCACCCCCAGCCCAGCCCCCCTGCTCCCACGGCCATCTGCGACCCGGTACGGAGGGTGGTGCCTCCCCACAACCCCTCTGTGTGTGCTGTGGGCCCATGTGAGCAAGGGGGTGGGCCAGCGCTCAGAGTGACCTGCAGCTCCCCGCTCACGGTGGGCAGCTACAGGGACACTGAGTGTCCCCAGCATCAGCCCTGAGGAAACTCGCGCCCTGGGGACCCAGTGCGGCCTGGCTGGCAGGAAGCCCCAGGCAGGGAGAATGCAGCCCAGTGGTTCCGGGCTGTTTCCGGAAGCCAGAGGAAGAATGTCACCCGACAGGTCTGCCCTGCGGGGGCCTGTGCCCACACATAGGCCTCTTCTCCATTCCCACCTTCCTGAGGCTGTGCCCAGCCGCCCCAGGGGGCGTGGAGCCGGGAGTGTGGGGTACTGGGCCGTTTGGGTGCCAGAGCACAAAGTGGTTTCACCTGTTTGGTTCTTGTTTTTGTTTTTTGAGGATTGAAGACTGTGATCAGAGGTCTGTGTCAGTTGGCGTTGGAGAGCCGGGGCCTCCTGCTCTGGGGATTTGGCACTGTGCTAGTGACAAGTTTGCCCCAAAGTGTCAGTGCCACTGTGGGGGTGCATGGCTGCTTGTGACTCCGGGGAGAGGAAATCCCAGGACAAAATGCCTCTAAAACCAAAATCAGTCAAAGGGAGAAATAAAGTTTAAAAGCCACTTATTGCTTACAAACTGCAGTCCTGGCCATCTCTCTTTCCTGTTCCGGCAGAAGCAAAACTGGCCCCCCGCTGCCCCCCGACCTCTCGGGTTCAGATACGCCCTCGGTGGCCCAGGTAATTACCCACTGATATGGAGATGAACTTCTCCCCACCCCTGAGGACTAAAGCCAGGCGAGATATTCTGGAACTATTACAGTTCTGCCCACGGTGTTCCTCTCCAGGGAGCCCTGCCCACCAGGGCAGGCACAGGGCCACCGGCTATGTCCTGGTCAGTCGCTTCACTCAGCCCGGCAGGCCATGGTCTGGAGCCTGTCTGTCCGTCTGTGTTCGGGGACAGCAGCACGCACCTTCGGGCTGGGTGGAGAGAAGTGACCCCGAGGGCTTGTTGATCGCCTGCCAGCAGGCCTTTGGAGGTGACCCTGCACCCTGTGTGTCATCCTGCAGGCTGTTCCAGAGGCCCTCACCCTGGGCAGGCAGGACCCCACAGGAGGGCGGGTGTGGGAGGCACGGGCTGCACTCCAGAGGGTTGGGGACAGGCACCCTCACCCTGCCTGCAGGGCTGCTCAGTGGCCTTGCTGGCCAGCGGGTGTGGACTCCATGGGATCCGACTTGGCCAGACCTGCCCTGCAGGCGGGACCCAGCACCCTGAGGGTGCAGGGCTGGCCCCCCAACCTGACAGGTGATGGAGACGCCTCCTGGGGTACGTGAGCCCCAGGGCCTCTTCCCCACAGACACATGATCACATCCTTCTTCCCTCCCCAGTCCACCCACCCACCTGCCCACAGAGGGCCAAGTGCTCCACTGGATGAGGGACAAAAGGGTGTGCAGAGTCACTGATGCCCTTGCCCTGTGAATCACAGTCCTCAAATCCATGTGTAATCACACATGGGAACATGCTGAGAAGGGATGAGGGCCTCATGGCACAGCATCTGGCAAGGAAGCTGACCTGGACTGGGGGTCCAGGAAGGCTTCCTGGAGGAGGTGGCACATGGCTGAGAGCAGAACAGTGAACTAATCATGAGCTGACAGGGTTGAGGGGGTGAGTGTTCTGGGCAGAAGGAGTCCATGAACTGGGGCCTGTGGCAGAAGGAAGCCAGGCCTATTCCAAGGTGTGGGGGAAGGAGGCTAACGGGCTGGTGGTGGCCTTGTCCTGGGCAAGGGCCACCATCGGAGAATTGTAAGCAGAGGGCTGAGTGGTCCTGTTTGTGCTGGGAAGGCCCCCGGCTGCGGGGATGGGTGTGCAACAGGGCCTGGGAGGCTGGATGGATGCCCGACAGGACACAGGCTTAAAGCAAGACTGGGTGGGTCGGTCAAAGGGCAAGGAGGGAAGACAGAGTGCCAGGCCCAGAGGCCTGGGGAGACAGGTGGGCATGATGGGTGTCAGCTCCTGGCACCTGTGGCGCTCACTGTGGACACCTGTGGCGCTCACTGCTGGGGGAGTGGGTCCAGCTGGCTGGGGTCTGGGTGACAGCATCTTGTCTGGGAGGCATCTTGGGGTCCAGTGCTCAGAGGAGCAGAGGGGCTGGGGTCACAGACCTATGGAATGACCTAGGTGAGGACGATGCCATGGGGTGGGGTTTAGGGCATGAAGGGGCCCATGGGATGGCCGCCAAGGGGCAGGAGGCCCAGAGCTGCAGACAGAGGTGGCCAGAGATGTGAGGCCTGGGGGCCCAGAAAAGAGGGCTGAGTGGAGAGTGGGCAGCGCTGGCCAGGTCTGTGGGGAGGTGAGGGCTTGCACAGATGGGCCGAGGCCCTGCCCAGCCTCAGGGAGAGGACAGGTGGCAAGGGACAGTCACCGGGGATACAGTCATTGGAAGCCCACCCCAAGGACCCAGGTGCTGGGGCCCAGGAGCCCCGGTGTGCTGTGCTCTGAGCTCGGCCCCCGCCGGGGGAGCTGAGGCCCAGGCTGGGGCCATGGAACCTCCCTGGCATGGGGAGGGCAACTTCCCCCAGGCTCCCGGCCTCTCGGGCCAGTGGGAAATTCAGAGGCTCCATGTGAACTGGAAGGTCCCCAGGGCTGGCGCACAGCTCCCGTGGAACCGAGGGTGCCCAGGCCCTTCCCTGCGCCTGCGGGACCAGTCTGCTGGCAGGCAGGGACCTTTGCGGGCTCACCCAGCAGAGCACGCTGCACCTCTGGGTGGGCAATCTGAGGGCGGGGTTTCCCACCCCTCCTTGGGGTCTGCTCATCCTCTGTATCAGCATCCTGTGGCCGTTCTCACAGATGCCCACATGCTGGATGGCTGGAAATAACAGAAGTTTATTCTTAATAGTTCTGGAGGCCAGAAGCCCAAAGTCAAGGTGTCTACAGGGTCCTGCTCCCTCTGGGGACTCCAGGGGCCCCCCTCCCACCACTGGGACCCGGGGGGCTGCAGGCTTCCTGGGCGTGCAGTCTCTGCCTCCGTGGTCACGTGGCCCCTCCTCTTATGTGTCAACTCCCTCGGCCTCCCTTGCCTAAGGACCCCGTGATGTGGGCCACCCGGATAGCCCAGCATGACCCACTCATCTTAAAATTTCTGGTGTAACCACACCTGCAACCCCTTTTCCATAGAAGGTGGCATTCCCATGTTCCAGGGGTTGGGACCGGATGTCTTCGGGGGCACCCGTCACCCTCTGCACCCTGGAAGCTGCATGCCCCCAGCTAGCCTGTTCGTCCAACTCTAAATAAAACTGTACTTGTGCTTCTGAAGATGGGTTTTTCAGCTGACTTCCCGAGGTGCTCGTTGAGAACTCAGGTCCTCTGTGAAGGTTGTAATTATTTTGTTCCAGAAGGAAGCCAAGGCCTGTAATTCCAAGCCTGCTGCAGAGGCTCAGGCCCCATCCCACCTCCCAGCTCCTGGCAGCGCCTTGTGCATCAGGGAGGGCTGGGTGGCCAGGAGGGGGCGGCCAGCGAGGGGATCAGGTGCCCAGGGCTTCAGGCTGCCCCCTGCCTGCCTGTGCCTTCCCGGCCAAGTGCTGTCCCTTCCCCTGGCCAGATGCCTTACAGTCAGGTCACATATAAAGTGTTGAAATATTTAACATACCTACATCACATATATAACATGTAACATTGTCGAGTATCTAATATGCAGAGTGTATATTGTATCCATACTTGTTTCAGAATGACAATCCCAGGAGCCTTACCTGGGCCATTAGCGGGAACGTTCCAGGGCTTCCTTGCAGGTCTCTGTCCCTGGGGTCTGGCCCTCTGGGGTATATGTCAAATAGTTTCAAAGTCACTGAGATTATTCCTCTCTCTGGGTTTCCTGGCTGCGAACACAGTAGGGTCATTATTCCATATGACTTTTCATTTTAGGGCCTCATCACCAGAGAGAGGGGGGCTGTGTCACCCACCTCACAGGTCGCGGGAGATGGGCCCCAAGGAGGCACAGAGCCTGGGTTCGCACCCAGGTTGGGCTCCCCACCGTGTGTCCAGCACCCCAGGAGCTGCTGTGTGGCCCCACGCTGGCCTGAGAGCCTGACGCCAGCCACGTGTCCCCCACGTCTCTGGCATGGTGGGCAAGGGCAGAGGCTTTCCAGCTACAGCTGGGTGGTGATCAGAGGGGGAGCAGCCCAGAGGAAAGTCCTGCCAGCACAGCTGGGCAGGTTGGTGTCTGCCCCTGCCCGTCCCTGGGTTAGCAGCCTGGAGCAGGTGCCTCCACACCTGGTCTACAGACCCTGCGTACCACAAGGCCTGCCCGGGGGTTTCTGGGTGCTGTTAGCACTTCCCCAACCCTGACCCAAGCCTTCAGCGGGCAGAGAGGGACCAGTGGCTGGGAGGTGGGGCTGCCTGGGCCTCTGGACCAGGATGTCCAAGCCACCGGCCGGTACCCTGCGTACCCTGAGAACTTTGCTTCGAACAACAACCTTCCAATCTCCATCCTGGAGGAGCTGGCGCCCCGGGAACTGTCCCTGTCCTGTGGGCAAACCTGTGGCCCTGACCTGAAGGCCTCTGGCTGGTGTGTGTGAATTCCTGCAGGGCACAGGGCTGCACCCCACTTCACTGACCTCAGTGACCGTGCCTGGACCAGGGTCTCCACCAGACCCGGTGCAGCATGGATGCATGTGGTAAAAGGAGCCCTGGGGTCAGAGCAGGGGACGCAGGAGCCAGTTCTGCCCAGGTCAGTATCCAGCAGCCATGACCAAGGCCACGTTGGTCTCAGCAGGGTTGAGGGAGTGGCTGTGCCTTTAATCTCCCCAGGAGCCAAGTCAGCAGAGCCCCATGTGGCCTGTGGGGCACCACATAGTACAGGGCTCATGGGGTGGACACAGGGCCACGGGCCCGGGGCTGAGCAGGGGTGGCTGCTGTGTGGCAGAGCAGCTGGCGGTGGGCACATGGGAGCCAGGTCGTGTTGGGGGGTGCCTGCTCGGCTGCTGGGGGGCCCTGCACATGCTCTCTGCTTAAGACAGTGGACATTGGCAATCCCAGGCCAGCGGCCACCCCCTTTGGTCTGTTTTGGGACACCTGGTGGCTCTCACTTCAGACAGTCGTCACTTCCTGTCGTCGCTCAGGGGTGGCACCGTGTTGTCATCCTGGGGGAGCCGGGATGCAGGCCATGGTGGTTCTGCATTAAGAGCAGCTGGTCACCACCCTGGGGCGAGCTCTGCCTGGCACCCACTGTCCCTCCCACGTGGTGCTCACACAGCCCAGATCCTGTGCAGGGTGAGAGAGTCCTCCCGTCACCTCCCGTCTTCTCAACAAGCCCCTGGCCTGGGAACCCAGTCTCCAGGTGCCAGTGACCTGGGTGGGGCAGAGCAGCCTCAGCTGACCTCTGGGACCAGGCCCTGCTGGTCTCTGGGCCCAGTGGGGCACTGCTGGAGGGGACCACTGCTCCCAGGAGGTCCTGGGCCAGCAAGGGGCCGGCAGGGAGGGCTATCAGCCCTGCAGATAGGTGGTCTGGCCTGCTGGGACCTAGAGTACCAGGTGAGGCAGGCAGAGCCCTGTTGGGAGATACCCAGGAGGTCTGCACCCCCAAAGCATGGGGAGGCTGAGGGGCAGGGGCCCCAGGGCCCAGAGGGAGGCGGGCTGTGGAGCCATCCATGGATGTGAGGGCTTCAGAGGGGTCTCAGGCCAGGCCTAGGCTGAGCGTCATGGGGACACTGTTTGAGGGAGGAAGGACTCTGTTGGGAAATGGCTGTGGGAGGCAGTGAGGAAGCTTCGCTGGGCAGTTGGATGGGTTCCTGGCCAGTGGGGGGCCTCTCTGCCTCGGAATCCCTGGGGAAATGGCCCCCAGCAATTGTTTGCAACTTCCCCGGGGTGGGAGGGACAGAGGGGCTAAGATGTCCTGGGGGTCGCCCAGACTAACATGGCTAAGGATCAGGGACCTCTGTGCCCAGAGGGAGGGTGCCCTGGACACCCCACAGTCACGGGGTGGCTGTCCTGGAGGCCATGGAGTGGGCAGGAGGGCGAGAGGGCAGCGTCATCCCACTCGGAGGCACCGTCCTGGCTGCTCAGGGGAAGGTGCGGGAAGAAATCCGATTTCTAAGAACACGTCCTCGCAGAGGCCCAGCTGACCAGCATGCCAGCCGCCGCGGGCTCCCACCTCAGGAGGCTTGCCCTCTACAGAGACTGCTTCGGGCTTGTCCTGCCTCTCTCCCTTGAGGGCGCAGGGTGGGTCCTGGGGCCTGCTGGCCGGCCCCCGCCAGGTGCAAGTGGACAGGGCTGGGCCCATGCAGGGGAGCCGGGGGCCAGCAGCTGGGTGGGAGGGCAGATGTTTGGGTTTCTCTGTGCAGATCTGCGTCCTGGGTGTGATGAGATGTGAATGATGTCATACTTCTCAGCAAAGTCGGGTGCTGCTGAACATGAGTTCTTGTCATTCCATTTTTATTTGGACCAGTGTTATATATACATTCAAATTTTAAAAGTTCCCTAGTGGTACAAAGTGTATGATAAAAGAATTTATCTCCATATTCCTAAATGATGCACTTACCTGCTGTTTCTTATTAAGTGATTTTTCAATGTAGGCATTACTTATGGACTCTTTTTCTAAGGAAGATATAGATTTTGCAATCTTAGAAGCCCCCAATCCTCTGCCACATGTACACGCAGACACGATTCTTGGCCGAATCAGATTCAGTCTTGATAATGAAAACTGCGCTTTGCCATGTAGATAATTGTGAGTATATTTTTCGACCCCGTTCTCAGCAGAGCTTAGTTGGCCTCCCCTTTCAGCCGGTCAGTCTTACGCTCTGACCACCACTCAGGGGAATCAGAATCTCCTGGAGCCTTCAGGCACCGCAGGCATTTCAGTTCACGAGCTGTCTGAACAAACCTCCCCAAACCTCAGCAGCTGGGAACAATGCAGGTCTGTTTCCCACAATTCTGGGCTCCTGGGCTTCCTCACCTGCCTGAGGCCTCGGCTGGGGCGGTCGGGGCAGGCAGGTGGCCCCCCAGACACACACACATACACACACACACAGTGTCACACGCTCGTTCACGCACACGTGGTTCACAATGCCCCCCCACGTGGTGGGCTGTGCTCCCTCTGGGTGCCGTGGCTCAACGTGCTCGGGGTTCATTGCAGGGGCACACAGCTTCCGTGAGCACAGGCCCAAGTGGCAGCTGTCCTGGGGCTGGGCTGGGAACCAGCGCAGCGTCACCTCTGCACCTCGTGTGGTCCCGGGGTCACGGTGGGCACACCTCCCCCTCTGTGGAAGGAGCGGGCCCCTGGGCCCCTGCCCGCTGGCTCCTGGGCCGTGTGACTGTCCACCTGCCCGTCTCCCTCTCCACCCGCTGACCCGTGGCGGGCAGAGCCCTGCAGGAGAACACTTCCCCTGGCTTATTGGGTTCGAGCAGCTGCCCTCCCTGAAAGCCCGCTGCTTTCTTTGTGTGGGGTGTGGGGGCTGCTGAGACCCTGGGCCAAGGTGCCTATCTGTCCCTGCAGCTAGGCCCACCCTCTTAGGAACAGCCACGCGGAGACGGGGGTGGTCAGGTGGGAGGAGGGCACACAGAGAGAAGCAGGGCTGAAGCCTGGGCTCCCCCCAACTTGGGAAAAGATTATTTTTTGAGAGTCTGTTCCCCACCTCCTGGGGGCCCCAAGCCAGGAGGGGATGATGGGTGGGGGTGGGGGCCGTTGGGGTTGGGGGCTGTGTCCATCCAGGGCCTTACGCCCATGCGCTTTGTCAGCTATATGCTGGGTCTCTGTGCCGTGGGCCCTGGGACTCTGTGCACAGCCATTAGCTTCCCCAGCACCCAGGCCACGAGCCATGGGAGGATCCAGACAGTAGCTGCCCCCACCCAGCACCCTGTGAGCATGAGGTGGAAGCCTGAGGTTCAGGCCCCTGAGCTGTCAGAGGTCCTGCTCCCTCCCCTGGCAGTTCAGACCCCGTGGTAGGTGGGATGGGCATGGGTGGGGGCAGGGGTCTCTGGAGGCGCATGGGGCCTGCACACCCTGGCACGGGCACAGGGGAGGCAGGGCTCCCGAGGTGGTGAGGCGGGGGTCCCTGGTGAGGCACGGAGCCTGAGGGACGTGGCTAGGAAGACCCAAGGCAGGGGCTCTGGGCCGGTGCTTGGACCCCAAGGGGCCCGTCCCCCAGCACTCGACCCTGTGGTAACCTCTGCCCCTTTCTGCTTCCCCCAAGGTCACCGATGATGAGGGCATGGCAGTTCTGGAGCTTCGGCTTGGGGGTGTCCTCTGAGCTGCCCGTTCCACGCAAGGGATCCACATGCCTTCTGGCCAGTTGTGTGCCAGGTGGGCAGACGCCAGGAGAGCAGCAGGTGTGCATGGCGCCAAGGACAGAGCCCCAGGAGCCCGCAGCTGCCCTCTGCTGAATGTGTTTATTCTGACTCTGGCTTGTCTGGTTTGTGACGTTCCGGGAGTCCAGAGACATAGTTGCTGCTTCCACGCCTACCAGGGGCACGGGCAGCCACTGGAGGTGGGCCCTGTGAGGAGCAGGGCCTGCAGCCTGGCAGCCAGTGTGCTGAGGGCGGCCAGCCCTTGCTGTCAGCTCAGGGCCACCCTGCAGGCTTGCATGTGCAGGGTTCTTCCCACCCAGGCCCTCAGGCACGGGGTCTCTGTGCACTTGAGAATTGGGGAGCCCACCCCTGCCTCCCCGCCACATTCACCCCAGAGCTTGGGGCCCCCAGGTGCCCAGCACCCGTACTTGGGGCCACCCTGTCCCCAAAACACTGCTGGGAGTTACCTGTCCTGCGTGGGGGTGGGGCTGTCACTTAGAGACCGGACTTAAATGCTGACAGGGAGAAGCCCCCCTCTGTCTTTTGTCAGAGCTGTTCCTTTTCCCCTTTTTGTCACTTTAAAGACCAAAAAGATTCAGAAAGGAAAAGAAAGCACATTCTGCTCTTTCTTTGTTTAAATGTTAGACCAAGAGAAGTCTGCGCTGTGATCAGGGGCGCGTGCCCGGCTGTGTATCCGTCAGGTCCTGCAGGTGGGACGGACGCCATATGGACGCCTTCCACGTCGAAGGGCGTCTCTGTCCCAGCCAGTGTGTGCAGGGGGTGGGAGTACCCCAGGTCCTCTCCAAACAGAAGAGGGGTCTCCCCTCCCTGGCAGTTCCTGTTGCTCTGGACCTGACTGGTGGGGGTAGGGACAAGGGCACGGCTGTCCCATTCCAGAAGCAGAGAGACCTCTTCCCCGACAGAATCTAACCGGAAGAGCCCCGGGGGTTCGGGTGGGGGAGGGTGTGAGTCCAGGAGGGCGGAGCCGATGCTTTGGAGGAAGGGGAGCGCATGTTATGCTCAGCCTGTCTGCTCCGGAGCCCCTCCTGCCCCCTTCCCACCCCTGCTCCAGGAGTCTACAGAGCCAGCCTCCCAGCTCAGCTCCGGCAGGGCAGCCTGGCCTCCATGTGCAGGCTGGAGGGGCTGTCCAGACCCTCTGTGCTCCTCACTGCCCAATGCTTCCCAGCCTCCAGCCCACAGTGCAGGGAGACGTGGTGGCTGTGGGGCAATGCCAGGATTTGGGGAGGCAGTGCTGGGCAGAGAGACAGGTGCTCTTGGTGCACCAGGCACCGCTCCTGGGAGAGACAGGCCCCTGCGATGGGCAGCCACAAGCAGCCCTGGCTGGGGAACTGTGTGGGAGCCCAGACACAAACAGGCCCCGCCAGCGTCAGCGCTGGACCACCTGTGGCCAGCGCCCCCTAAAGGGCTGGCTGGTACCCCGCAGGCTGGAGCCTAGCCTGACTGACCCTCAGGCCTCTGGGCTCCCCAGCCCCTTGGCCATCCTGTTCCCAGTGACCTGATGCCAGCTAGTCCTGCCTGGGTCTGTTCCCCACCCGGGGCTTGGGCCCCCCGCCAGCCACGCCTCCAGCTTCCCGCTGGCCCAGACACAGCACCGTGCAGGCCACCCTGGGGACCCCTCCGGAGGGTGGTTGGGCCAGGAGCTGTGTGCAAGCAGAGCCCCCCCAGGGTCAGCCTGGCTCCCTCCGCACCCCACCCCCAGCTGGGGTCCATGCACTCCTGACATGGAGGGGCAAAGAGCAGCTCTAATTAAAGGGGAAGGCAGCTTGTCACCCCTGGGTCCCTGTGACTGTTCCTCTGGGCATAAGTTACCCATGTCTCCCCATTGGAATCTGCGGTGGCTCACACGGCGCCCACCCCAGGACGCCACGCTAAGCACTGGCCCCTCTGGCCTGGTTGCTATCCAGCCCCTGGTGACATCGGAGTGCCCTCGTGACTCCTGGAGCTCTGGTGCTCGGCCCACCCGCTGGAGGGCCCAGCGTGATGGCCAAGGGACAGGGTGGGCTCCCAGGGAGTGGGTGCCGGGGGGGTACTCAGTGGAGGAGGAAGGCCCGTGCCAGTTTAGAAGGGGCTGGGGAGGGGTCCTCTGTGCAGAATGGCCGCCACAGCATGGCTTGGTGGGGGGCTGCTTGCCTCTTTCAAAGAGGTCCTATGTATGAGGTGGCGGGGGAAGGCAGCATGAGGCTGGTGACATCAGAGGGGCCAGACAGGCAATCCTGGGGGCCCCCTGCTCCAGATGCTGGCCTCCCACAGGTCCCTCTGCAGGAGCTGGTCTGAGAACAGAGCTGGCTGCCCACATGCAGCCCATCCACCCCTGGTCCTCTGGGGAGAGGGCTCTGACCCCTCGGCCTTCGAGGGCGCTGGGTGGGGTGAGTATGGCTGCAGGAGCCAGCCGGACCTGGCGTGGTGCCTTCCTCAGACCTGCATGCCCAAGAGCGTGGGCAGGAGCCCTGCTGTGGCCCCTTTGGTCTGCACTCCTGCAGACGCCCAGCTATTACTGGACCCTGCAGCAGCCAGACCTCCTGGTCCCGGGTTCCTGCTCCCCACAGGTCGCCTTCCTCTGGGTCTGTTGGAGACCCTCCAGCCATGTGGCCCATCTATGCCAAGCCCCCAGGTAGAGTGTTGGTAGAGGGGTACAGCCGGGGTGGCCGGGTTCCTGCCTGACGCAGGGAGGTGACAGCATCATTTCAGACATCACACGTCTGCAGATGAGCCGTCAGGGTGAAGGACACTGCAGCTGGCTTGGGGGTTTTGAGGCAGGAAGGTGGGTCAGGGGCTGGAGGGGCTTCCTCTGGGAGAGAAGTGGGAACCAGGGGGGCCAAGCAGCTCCCCCCAGCTCCTCACGTGGGCCTGCTGGAGGGCAGGAAGCCTGCGGCTGGCTGGCCCCTGCCCAGCTCCCCCCTTCTGGCTCCCACGGCGACCACTCGGGTGGGGTGACGAGGCTCCGGTGTGGCCAGGGTGATGCGAAAGGGGTGTGGGCTTGCTCTGCTGCCCACCAAGGAGGCAGGGCGCCTCCAGCCAGATCCCCATGGGGTCCGGGGCCTGGCCACGTGGGGCAGCGCAAGGCTGTGTAGGGCTGGCCCTGGGGAGCCTGGGCTTGGGGGCAGGGCACTGCCTCAGAGGTGCTGGGTGGGGCTCGCGGCTCCTGGTGGCTGTTCCTGCTGCCCGCAGCCTGAGCCTCCGCTGGGCCCCCAGGTCTCTGCTCCCCACAAAGCACACAGGCGGGTGTCCACAGGAGCCCCACTAGGCTGCTCTGGGGATGGCGGAGTGGAGGCAGAGCAGACATTTCGAGTCCTCACTGTGGGCTGGGCACCGTGGTGCCCAGTGGGCCTGCAAACCTCCACCAGCTCTTACAGTTGGAGGGACCGAGAGGGCGGGCATCTGGTCCTGCCTGCAGGGCCTGGCACCCCTGCTGTGCCAAGGGTCCAACGTGTCTTTCCTTTTCTACAAAACTTTTTTTTTTCTTATTACAAGATGACTCCCTTTGGTGCTAGAAAGTAAAGCAGACAAGAAAATGAAAATCTGCGTCTCCCACCCCATGGGTCCTCACACTCTCTGCTGATTTTTCTGGGCATCTGCAGGTGTTTGCTCTGCATTGCCAGCCTCACGCCACCCAGGAAGCTCTGCCCAACCCTCCTTCTCCAGGTTTCCTGGGTCCTGGCGGCTCCCACCCTGCTGCCTTCCTGCCCTGGGCCTGGGGTGAGTCCAGTGGGCATCTCTCCCTTCACGGATGCTTCTCAGAAAGCTGTCAACGGCCTGGGGCTTGGGGCAGCCTCTGCCGGGCTCGGACCTGCCAGATGCCCCCACAGCCTCCTGCAGGGAAGGGAGTCACAGCCTCTACCAGGCCACAGCAGGAAAGAGGGAAAACCAGGCAGCGTGGCCACCCTGCTGGCTGGGTTGGGGTGCACCCCTGGCCTGAGGGTGCCTGTCCTCTGCTGGGTTACGCTGCTGGTGCTTGTCCACCCACTGCCCCCAGAAACCCAGAGGAAGCTTCCAGAGTGGATCAGTGCCCCTCTGAAAGGCAGGGCCAGGGATGGGGCAGGCTGCCTGCCGCTCCTTGGGGTGGAGCATGTCAGTGGCCCCTCCTGAGTGGCCACGCTGGGCTCCGGGTCCTCAGTGACACTGTCTCCAGGGCCCCTCCCCTCCTGTCCCGCATGCCTAGGCGGTCCAGCTGCCCTGCCAACTTGTTCTTAGCCCTGCCTGACGCCAGGCTTGGCCTTTTCCCCTCGGAGATCAGAGATGTCAGTTGGAGCCGTCCAGCCTCTGGAAGGGCAGCCTGCAGCCTGACCCTGTGCTTTGATGGACTGGCCGGGCATCGCTGACCACGTGAGGGGGCATGGCATGGGGCCGCCCTCCTTCCTGGGTGGGGCTGAGGCCAGGGGTCGGGGGCAGAGGTCAGTCTCATTTTGCAGGTGGGCTCACTGAGGCTGGGGCCTGAGCAGGGCGAGTGTCCCCCCTGGGGGTGGACGTGGGGCTGGGCGTCTCAGAGGCCCCGGGCTGCCATGACAGTGCTACAGGCGCACATCTCTCAGTCCAGCACCGGCTGGCCCGGTGCCTGGCTCACAGAGAGCCACCTTCTGCACGGCTGGGAGAGGCCCAGGCTTGGTCTTATGAGGACACTGACTCCATCCCCATGATCTCAGCCAAGCCGAGTCCCTCCCCTAGTCCTGTCCCCAAATCCCACCACCCTGGGGGTTACCTTCAACATGTGAATTTGGGGGACACACATCCAGTCTGCTCAGGGAAGGTGTGGACACGTGAAGGGCAAGCTGGGCGGGTGAGTGTGAACCGGGCCCTGGGAGCCGCCAGGAAGGCAGGAGGAGCAGGGCCCTGCGGGGAGTGGGCGGTGGGCTGGGGGCGGGGCCTGGAGGAAGGCCTGGGGGAGCGGGGAGGGGCCCATGAGTGGGCGTAGGCAGCACAAGCTGGGAGCAGGACCAGGGCCTGGCACAGGCTCCCACGGGCAGATGGAAGCCCCTCGCGTAGTGTCCCCCGTTACTGACACCTTGCACAAGCAGGCTGTTTGTTACAATTGATGAGCCAATAGTGATACCTTGTTATTAATTAATGCCATGGTTTACGTTAGGATTCACTCTGTGTCCTACATTCTGTGGGTTTTATCAATGCACAGGCCTTTTGTCCACCATTGTAGTGTCACATGGAATGTTTCCTGCCCTAAAAATCCCCTGCCCACCACCTGTTCATTAATATTTTAAAGGAATGAAGACACACAGGATTACAAAGGAAACGAGTTATTCTGGGGTAATTCCAAATGTTAGCGAAGCAGGGGTGTGAAGTGGGGGCAGCCCTGCACCCGAGGACTGAGGCTCTGGTGTGTGGTGTCATCTGAGGGGTCCGCAAGGGGCCGGCACAGACTAGCTGCCTTTCCGGTTAGCGACCAGATCCCAGGACTCTGATGCTCCCAATGGAAGGAAGTGCTATCAGGTAGAAGCCAGTGGAAATGACGATGTCGTCTTTTGTCCAAGTTCTCAGAACCCCTGAATTAAGGGTCCCTGTTGTGGGGGAAAACACTGGGAGCTTGTGAACCGAAGAACATATGCTGACAGGAACGGAAAACATGTTTTCAAAACCACATA